GGGCCGGGCTGAGGGGCCGGGCTGAGGGGCCGGGCTGAGGGGCCGGGCTGAGGGGCCGGGCTGAGGGGCCGGGCTGAGGGGCCGGGCCGGCGCCATCTTGCGGGGGAGAGAGGCAGCGGGGCAGCAGGACAGTCCCTCGGCCACCCCCCGGCACGGGATGCTGCTCCGTGATTCAGCGCCCAACAGGAATCCTGCCGTCCGCTCTTGGCAGGCGCCCGGCGTTTTGGGTCTTGCAAACGGTGCGGCTGCGATGGGAGTGTTTTAAGTGAAATCAAAATTGGACATCTAGGTCTATTCACAGCAATTTAATATCAACAACAACAAAAAAAGAATACAGTTTGGTGAATTGAATACAAGAAATACAATAATACAGTTTAGTAGATACAATTTATTCAGATTCATTAGCAATTTGGTATAAAAGAAATACAATTTAGTAAAAGAGTACGATTTAGTGAATATATGTGAATATATTCAGATACAGATATATATATATATATATATATACACACATATGTGAATATAGTTTGCCAGTAATTCAGTATCATTACAGCATAAACAAAATCAACCAGGGTACGGGGAGGGCTTCTCACCCCACCTCATGTACAAAACCAACCAAGGTATGTAGAGGGCTTCTCATCCTACCTCACATACAAAACAAAGCACTTCAAATTAAACTTATGTACTGTATCCTTATACATATTCATTAATGTTTCCCATAAGTTTCCTCCTACTTCTGATTCTTAAATCTTACGTCACTATTCTTCATGGCGCATGCCTCAGTTGTTGCTGGGGGTCTTCAGTCTTCTTTTGGTGGTCTTTGGATGAAGGCTTACACTCATTCTGGTTGTCCTCTGGATAGCCTTACAGGTAGTGCATGCGTACTAAGTGTTATGTTATGTAAGCATTATATTCTACTAATTAGTCATACATTTCATAATTTCAGGCCCTATGCCTAAAGTCGTTCCAACTTTGTCCATCTCAAGGTCGATTTTGTCTTGGGACATTACTTATCTTAAAACTACATCCTGTATCCTATCTTTAACATGTAACATCTGTAAAGGGGTCCATCTGCCTAGTAACGCCAATTCCCTTTATTGCTTTATAATAATAACTTCCTAAATAATTACAATTTAGTTAGGATGAATCATCTCCATTTATCACAGAAGGGTTAAAGGTAACAGCATGTGCTTTTAAATGTCAGCTTTTAATAAAGTTTAGCGACAGGCAGAACCACAGAGGCACAAAAGCAATGATGTTGGAAAACCCCTGAGGTCATTGAGTCTGACCTATGACAAAACAGCACCTTTGTCAACCAGGCTGTCACAAAACTCTGATTCATTACCCGGTATGCAACAAGTAAATAACGCACACTCGAGAGATGTTGATTATTTATTTCAGAGTTGCACAAACCTGGG